AGTATTAGCAACACTCGTAATAATTCATAAATGTATGTATATATTTAAGTCTTCTTTAGATTAATGCTCACAGATTTATTTGTCATATTTGTATTTTGTTTTAATTATTTTCTGTACCTTATATACTCGTGCTAACTTTGTAATTGGCCACTGTGCTGTTAAGTTATTGCATGTAAATAAACATGAATTGAATTGAATTGAATTATTATTATTATTATTATTATTATTATGATCTTCTGGGATGTGATGCCATGTAGTTTGTATATAGATACTAACATATTGGAGGTACCTGCTGCCTCCATCTTTAGCCCAGAAGCTGGAGGCACAAGGTACCTGTCTACTGAACTACATGTCACCACATTCTAGAAGACCTGTCTTCCTAGTAACTGCTGAGAGTGTCTCAGATCTCACAAGTTTTACTGTATTTGTTTCCATGATCATTCACATGTCAAAGCCTATTAGATTTTAATAAACATTCTAGTTAAAAAATCACACTGAAAATAAGTGGTATATATATATATCATCTGTTTCAGGATCAAAGGACATATATTATGGCATCCACAGACCCTCGTATGACTCTGGTGGTAGTGTTTGACAGCAAGAAAGCTGAGAAAGAAAGTCATATCACAAACTTTGTGTCTGATCTTGCACTACAGCTCCGCTGCAATAAAGTGTTTGCAAACCTCAAACCTAATGCAAAGTAAGATTTGAGGTTTTCATGGCAGTGAAGATTTATGTGGTCTTCATGACAATCATGTAGTCTGGTAGGTGGGTACTAATATTTTGGAGAATATCCAGCACCCATGTTCTTTTCAAACCTACCTACCAGACAACATGGTGTCATAACCTGTAAGACCACAATACTAACACAAGGTTAAGTGCATGCTAAGGATACTGACTTCTAAATGTATAGTGTGTGTTTTTTTTTTCAATGACAGTATAACACAAAACTTAAACACAGTCTGCATCAAAGTTTGAAGAAAGCATGACTTATTCTGATCTCAGTCCATACTGAGGTTCTCATGGTAGTGAGTTTCAAGATCATGGTTTTTCTGGGATATGATGCTGGTAGATGTGTACCCATCAAGAAGCCCTTAATCTTGATTTGGCTGTACTGTCTAATTAAGTTGATTGTATATGATTTTAGGTTCTCATGACAGTAGTTATGAAGAGTACTATCATCTGCAATATAAGACAGCACTCAAATTGACTGTATATACACCTCTATATTAAAAGGGACCACTAGCAATATGACAGACCTACTATTGATGTATAATGATATTTAATATACAAACAAAGTCATAATAAATAGTACAACCTTTAATTCATGAACACAGATGCAATCAGAATTAAGTTTTACTGAGGCATAACAATGGTCACATCTAAAATGTTATACATTTCATGGAATAAAATGAATTTAGCAAACATGTTGTGTATATAAAGTAATATACTGAAGCACATTTCATTAACCTTATCAAGTTTGCTGCAGCAGAAACATTTTAAAGAAAGAACATACTCTGACTGTGTTATGTTACTCTATTGATACTGCAGTGTGAGGTCCTGCATTGTCATGCAAGAGGAACCAATTTCCTCTTTCCTGAAACTGAGGTCTTACTCGATATATTCTTTGAACCAAACAAGACAGTACTTCCACTTACCATTTCTTATTTACTGTCTGACTTGGTGGAACAAATTCTTCTCAAGTGATTCCCTGACTATCAAAGAATGTGATTGACACCACTTTATTTTATAACTTCTGAAATCAACATTTGTTGTCTTGGAGAACTTGGAAAATACTATTCCTTGCTTTGTCCTTTTGTTTGGGGATCATACTGGTAACACCAGGTCTCATCATCCATTAAAACTGAGTAAAGCAAGGAATGATCATCATCTATAGACTGAATAAACTTTTGAAAAGCTTGCAGTCTGAGGTCTTCAATTCATTGGTCAAACAGGGCATAACAAACCTAGTGCAGTTCTTTTGTTTTTGAGATCTGAGATCTTCCACTAAGTTTCTGTGAACTGTTTCTCTTCTAATTTCTAGTTCCTGTTACATCATCTGAAGAGTCATTTGATCAGTTGAATCAATTCCTGAACTGTTTTGATCATGTCAAGTGTTTAAATGTCTGTTGGTCATCCACTGAATTTGTTGTCATCAAGATGTGCATGGCTGTCCCAAAACTTGCATACTGTAAAAATGCTTGTGTATGAGAGACAGCACTGTCACCATAAGTCTTTTTTTATCAGCTGGAAATTTTCAGCAGCTGTTTTGCCCATCTTGAGACAAAACTTAATGTTCAATATTTGTTCCATCACTATGAACTGTCAAAACGAACTGCATGATACAGAATCTTAAATAAAATTAAGCGTGAAGAGAGGAGTGACCAACTTTTTACAGGGAACACAATGGAAGAGTCAGCTTCCACAGACAAATTGAAACATGTTCCTGTCTGCTTTTAAATATGTGTAATGGACTCTATCTTGAATTTATCTCTCAAACCTTGTACATACATTCCATGGATCCAGAGTTAGTCAAAAATGACTATGAGATGTAAGTCATAAAAACATACAGTACAGTAGCTTCCACTTCACATCTACTTAAGCAGTATTATATTTAAGCATCCTGTTACACTCACACAATATATGAGACAAAGTCCGTCTTAAGTGCAACAATTTAATTGTAGTTCTTTCTTCTTCCCTTCCTCCACACTACATGTTTCAGCCCTAATTGGCCATCATCAGGTGTGTATTCTTACGTATCTGCTACACTGCCCGTAGTTTAAAATTTAAAATCACCAGTCTTTCCAATTGTATGTATGTATAAAATCTTTGTTAATCTACACGCGTCAATTTGATTTCTAAAAATGGCACTTTTTTAAAACTTCAATTCAAATTAAAATGTCTATAAAGTTATAGACATTTTAATTTGAATTTTATACATACATACAATTGGAAAGACTGGTGATTTTAAATTTTAAACTACGGGCAGTGTAGCAGATACGTAAGAATACACACCTGATGATGGCCAATTAGGGCTGAAACATGTAGTGTGGAGGAAGGGAAGAAGAAAGAACTACAATTAAATTGTTGCACTTAAGATGGAGTTTGTCTCATATCTACTTAAGCAGGTTTGGGATTTGTGATAATTTTACTGCTTAGACATTACACATGTATTTGTTGTCTAGCATCAGCACCCTGCGAATTCTCAAGTCTAAAAAACACCTGTATCTAATACAAGTACTGCAAAAGCAGAAAGCTGAAGAATTTATTATATTCAGAATATGATGGAAGCATTAATCATTGTAAGTTGATATATATTATGACTAATATTTTATGCAATTAAGTGACGTACAAATCAGAGTGTGAGGCATTTCTGTCCACAGTGAGTTCTGCTGCTGAATTACAGTATTTCCAGACTGTTACACATTGTGCCTTCTTTAAAACAGATTTTATCAGTTTTATTTCTTCAAGGCTGTGCCACAGATCAGGTGGTTAGTCGCTGGCTTCCCAATGCAGCAGCCCAGGTTCAAGCCTGGGTAGGTCCTTTGCGATTTGTGGTGGACAAAGTGGCACTGGGGCAGATTTTCTCCGAGTACTTCGGTTTCCCCTGCCAATCTCCATTCCACGAACTGGTCCACAGTCACCATCATCTATCATATGAGGCTGGTACAATAGGCCTGTAATGGCCGCAGTACCAAGTGGACTCAGGCTCACCCCACTAAGAATAATAAAACAAAAAATAAATTATTTATTTCTTAATGTTCCTCATAGTAATCAATTATAATATAGGAGTCCACACACTATACATTATAACCAAACATGACATCTTTAAAGGCTGTCACTGCAGACTACATTATATTTTCACTATTAATGTCCAACACTATATCTCTCAGCCTAAATTCACTGCTGTGTAATGCAGATAAGTATTTTAATTAGTAATATGATGTCTGAAACAGGAGGCAACTCTTTTATACTGCATTATAAATGTGAAATAAATACAAGAATCAAAGGGTTGTGTGTACATGAAGTGAAGTTACATATTCTATTTGGAACAGCAAACTTCCATAAAGAAATATAAACTTATAACTTTGTAATAATGCTCTATGTTTGCAACTTACAATCTAGGAGTTCATTGTGTCTGTCATGGCCTATCATTACTCAGGTCGGTGAGACTATACAACATATGTTATTAACATGCTGCATACTTGTAAAATGTTAATTCTACCTGACATCATAAAGATAAGCAATAGTATTCTTCTAAGTTTCTTACTGTTCTAAAAATGCTACTATATCAAATTTTAAATAAAAAAAATATGATGTGTAAATTATCTTAAGTCTTGTAAAATAAGTGAGCTGTCTCTTCATAAGAGAGTTGTTTTTTCTTAGTTCCGGAGTATATCATGTCATACACAAGACAAAATACTTCAGCTTTAAAAAGGTAATTTTAAATTTATATGTATAGAACTACATGGGTGGGACTTAAAATCATGACTGAATAGAATTTTGGTGGTTTTTGGTATGCTACTTATGAACTACATAACAGCACCAAATTATGTTCACTGTTTCCATTCCAGTGTTCCTTCCACTACATTTTGTGCATGTGTAACGAGGAATGAAGTATCCAGTTCATGATCTAATCCTTTAAGAAAAGAATTGTTAATGGTATTAATTATAGCACAATTTCAAAAACATTATCATAAATCAACAATAATTTGTATATAAATTGTTTCTATAAAATTACAGCACATAAATAATACCTGCAACTATTTGGGCATGACTCATTAAGAAAACAAACAGGCATAGGATAAAGTGTCAAGAACAAAAATTCTCCAATTATTTTTAAATTAGAGTAACTTACAGCTGTTAACATGAAAGTTAGAAATGACATCGTAAAGAAATATTTATCTTAAGTAACTGCTACACATCACAAACATGTATACTCCTGCATGCATATGCCTCAATATTTATCTTAAGTAACTGCTACACATCACAAACATGTATACTCCTGCATGCATATGCCTCCTCACATGCACGCGCACATGCGTGCCCCCCCCAACATGCACACAGATGCAAACAAACACACACACACACACAAAGGTCTGATTTCTTTAAAATATTTAATTTCTGTAAGGGACTTTAATCACTAATATATTTTATTACAAGTACCTTATAAACTTGACATTTAAGAATAAACCAGACTGTACATACCTATATGTTTTTGTAAGAAATCCAAAATAAGAAGGTTGTTGATTCTAGATGCTATAATAGGGGGAAGCTTCTTCATCTTCCAGTTTAGCCAGTATCCCACAAGGTGGGGAGTATCAGTCTGATTTTCATGGGTTGTTCCTCTACAGACAGAATTAACAGTAGCATTTAGCCTCTGGACGTACAGTTAAAAGAAATAATACAAGCACTGATGAGGGTGCTAACTTTGGATAGCCGTAATATCAACTTCAAACATGCTGACTTTGTACAAGTAATTCTGTTAGTTAGGTACCATTCTAGAGCACTTCACACTATCATAATGAGGACTGACATACTGTACCAACTATCCATAAAAACAAAAAGTCAATGCTTGCTATTTTGGCGCCATGCATGTTCTATCAGAATTGGTAGTTCCTCTGAACAAGAGTAGAAGATGAAAGTGGGAGGATTGCTTAGACAGTACTGCAGTGTTCACCTCTGCTGAGAATGTTCATGGTGTACCTCTAGACAGGAGCACTGCTTACTCTATATTATTTTTTTTTCAGTCACATCATAATTACAGAGTGTCTTTCAAGGGCTATAATGTATAAGAGTGGCCAGAAATGAAATATGTACAGTGTGGTCATATATGATGTTAATAACTGCAATAATTTTGTATTGAAATGTGAACATGCCTTATGCTAATGGGAGTTATACTGCTAAGTAACAGGCACATATACATGGGAAAATCCACAAGGGAGAGCAAATATTTAAAGCAATACACAAGAAAAAATTTAAGGCAATACATAAGAAAAATCTAGAAAGGACAGAAATGGATTAATGACAGTTTCAACATCTCCGTGGCCTGTAGTCCACAAGCGAATTATACCGACCGATTGACCGCTGCTTGTCAGTGAAGTTATTGCCAACTTTAGTGGACAGAGGGTGTTGTGTGGTCAGCACAACAGATCCCCACGGCTGTTAATCTCGGTTTTCTAGACCGGTTAATGGCAGTTTATTATCAAAAAAGTTATGTTAGCAGCTAAAAATGATGGTAGATATAAACAATATGAATCTTTCCTTATTTGCACCTAGTTGCTTTTCACCATTTTCTGAGTAGTGAACACTGTCACATATTTAACATGACCCCTCCACTAGCAGAATGTACCAATGAAGAATGAACTGTGTGTGTCAGAAAGCTAGTGGAATTTATGGAAGAATGGCAAGTCAGTAAGAGCCAAAGGACGGTTTAAAAATGGGCTGAAATACTGAAACACGGCTGGACAAGTGTTGATGAGCATTCTGGGTGGCCATGTGCATGGCTTGAAGGTACTATGCAGGTGAGATGACTGAAGACTCATCACTGGTGAAATTACATCTGTAATAAACAATAGCTGTGGTTCTACCTACAACACTGTTCATAATGAGCTGGAGTCACATTGTGATGAGATGAGATGAGACTGGGAGTAAGAAGCAAGCAGTATGATAGATTCTAACATCTTTCATAGCCAGGAAGTTCAAATCTCAATCTTCAGCAGGAAAAGTGATGTTATGTTTTCTGCAATTCCACTGGTCCTATACTGGTTAATTTTCACTAGAATTCAATATCATAAAATGCTACATAACAGATCACAACACCACAGACCAGTTTCAAAAGCCATTTTTCTGCTTCAAGATAATGTTCACTCTCCTGCAACTGCTGGTGAAGCCATTAACAACATTTGACCTTTCTAAACCACTGAGGGAAGCATTACAATGTCAGAAATTTTCTAGTCATGATGAATGTGGGGATGCTGTGCATGAATGGCTTTAAGGCGCAACTGGAAACTTGGGGATTACTGAACCAAATGAATTAAAACGAAGAAAAATTATATAGAATAATAAAATATATCTAATTACTGTTTACTTTGCCAAAACATATAACATTTTATTTAAATTTTAATGTACCTTTGTACATCGGGTAAGAATTTTAACTGAACATATACCGCTAAGATGAGATTTTTACAAGGTACAGAGAAGGGAAATCCAGAAAAAAGAGGGAACAAGGAATGAAAAACGAGACAGAATTGAAGATAAACAACTCTGAAGATATATTAATAAATAATGGAATAAGATAGAACAGGCATATTCTAGGATGTATGAAAATAGAATCCAAAGAAAGTTCTGAATATAAAACTACAAGGAAAATGCCCATGAGGAAGACTAATGAAGGAATTGGATGGAGAGGATATTGGTTGCTATGGGAACTCACGTAAGTGGAAATGTCTAAGAATATGATGATCATCATCATCAGTTACACACCTTGCAGAAGACAGAGTACTTAAAATGTGAATTTACAGTGTAAATATGTAGTTAGTTAGTTAGTTAGTTAGTTATTGCAGAGGGTGGGTTTCCCCATGCACTTAGACCTGTATTCACGGTGGCCACTTCCCTCTATCTCTATATCCTACCGGTACTGGTGCTTACCATCAGTCCCGCCCAGCCAGCGAGACCGGCTCTACTAGCTGAGAGGTATCTATAATGCTCCCCCCATCTACCAGAGGTATTAGAGACTGCTGTTGGGTGGGAAACGTCCATTAATTTGGCTCAGTGACCTCCTTTGGAGACATGAGGTTCTTTTACGTGCCGTAAAGCTACGGCATGGGACCCACAGCTTAAAGTCCCTCCCAGAGGACTTGTTCCCTGAATTCTTCTGCCCTTAAAAATTCGATGACCTCCGCCGGGTATTTGAACCCGCGTACTATGAGTCACGAGGTGGGAACGTTACCTCTAGACTACGGAGGCTGCTTGTGTAAATATGTAACACCACCAAATTAATATCTGTAAACACACCTTATTGTGAAGACAGTTCTCTTGCCACACCCATTTGATGTAGTGTCTGTGTATTTCTTTACAGCATAAAAATTTGGTGCTATATGAAATGTCTCAGTATTTATAAACAGCAATGGCTGTTTAACTGTGCTTGGTAGATTTAATTCTTCTTTGAGGGAAAACATCCATGGGTCCAATATGACACCAAATCTAAAATGAGGAAAGGAAAACATGTTAAGAATAACACAAAATGTTGCTGCCTATGGATGAGGAAGGGTAGTATTACAGTTTTGGTATTTATTTTAAAGACACTTGCTTGAAACGGTAATCACGTCCAAGAGTCAGAAGAGCTGTAGCGCCGCCAAATGAATGTCCCATCATGGTTAGGTTTGTCAGATTTAATCGGTCCTGAAAGAAAACTGATGTTATTATTTAAACATATGAGCAATTGCAGCATAGTACAGTAACTACATAGAGGTTCCAGAAGGAAGACCCATGGATGGCAGGGTTGATGGCATTCCAGGATTCCCTCCTTTTTCCTACTGTTGCATTATCCACCAGCCCTCTTGGGCATATGTCAACAAGCAAGTGAGTAATGCTAGCAGAGGTTGTTACTACCAGTATTAATGAAAACAGAATGGCCAGCCAGTAAAAGCTGGAAGAAGTACAGCAGTTCAGAGAAGACATGGAGGCAGTCATCCATGGAACTTCTTTCCATAGCCTTAGTATGGATGATCAATAAGATCCCTCACAAGAATATTGTGGTTTCTTTCTGGAGATTGCCTAGTATCCTGTGCAACAATTACTACAGGACGGAAGAGTCAGACTCAGCTCTTGTGAACAGAGGTGGACAAAATATGATCTGCAGACCCTAAGTGGCAAGCAGCAGTATTCAGTTATTACCAATAATACAGCCCTTAAATTCGCTTAGTGGGGGGTGGAGTCCAACTTGGTCCACTCGGCACGGTGGCCACTGATTGGCCTATTGTAGCCTGCCCTGGGTGATTATGATGATGGAGAACTTGGTGGAATGAAGATTGGCAGGGGAAACCGAAGTACTCGGAGAAAACCCGCCCAAGCACCACTTTGTCCACCACAATTCCCACTTGACCAGACCTGGGATTGAACCCAGGCCACCGCGGTGGGAAGCCAGCGATTAGCCGCTTGAACTATAGCGTGGCCCAACAGCCCTTTATAAAGAGTAAACTCTGTGGTCTACTGGTCAGAGTTCCTGGCTACAGATCCTGAGGTCCGGGTTCGATTCCCGGCGCTACCAGATTTTCTGAGACGTAGTGGGTCTGGGATGGGGTTCACTCAGCCTCGTGAGGATAATTGAGGAGCTATTTCAAGGAAATAGCGGCTGTGGTCTAGAAAACCGAAATTAATGGCCAAGAGGATTCATTGCGCTGACCACGTGATACCCCCAACCGTTGGCACTAACTTCGCCAACAAGCGGCGGTCGCTCGGTCAGTATAGTTCGCTTGCGGACTAAAACCACGAGTTTTCTTTTTTGTTTAATATAGCCCTTTATAGATTTTGTTCATACACAGTACAGAATATAATCTACATTTTGTCATAGATACAAGTTTTGGGAACCATAAGGACTCATACTTAATATTTTCATTTATTATATCTACAACTACATACAAACACAAATGAGAGATTAAAATACTGTGTCAACATTAATTATTAGTAAAGGCTAATCTTATGTTCTCAGTCAGTGCATATTATCAAATGCTATCTAATGACACTGCGACTACAGAATTTTTCTTGAGAAAGGATTTTAAACTTAGCTCTGTCTGACTATGCAGCAAGAGTAAGTGGCTCACTCTTTCTAAAAGCAAACTCAGAAAATATGGGAAACCTTAGTCCTAAATGAGAAGGATGGCTTTAACTTTCACAATTTAACAAGCTGAGTCAGTATAAAGCATATCATATAGCGATGCATCTTACATACAAGTAAAAACTGAAGTAATCTTCTTTCATCTTCATATTCAGTCTTTAATATTATACCTGCCCAAATATTCCATAAAAAAATGTTACTATTTGTATTGCATATACAGCTCTTCTTTTGTTTCAGCCTCAGATTAATTGAATGGCCCAGAACTCACTGTTGGTAGATGTACAATGAGGCACTAATTATAAATTATATAAAGTGAAATAGTAGTAACACATACTCACCACAGCACAGGACTAAGAGAGTGCTGTCTTTCATATAATTTACCAGAATAACCACCAAAGATATATTTATCTGCGCACTGCATATAATGCAGTAGAGTTTCCATGCTTAGAGTAAAATATTCTTAAAAACTGAAACTTTTAAGTTTTAAGAAAACTGTTGTCAAATCATACCTTGAATTGTCCAAGTTCAAAATCTTTGCCAAGAACATTATCAACAGATATTCCACCATTTAGTTTCTCCAATAAATCAATCACTCTCCTACATTCTTGTACCCTCTTTTCTACCTGTACAAAAAAAATGTATACATAAGGTTACTGGAGAAATAAAAGCTATAGCTACATTTTAATTTACTGAACCATGATCCCCAAAATTAAACATGTTATTCTCTGCTTGTGGACTACAGGCCACAGAGTTTTTTCTTTTCCCCCCCCCCTTTAAAATCGTACTGGAATCAGTGTTCTCTACAACTGTACAAAGACTGCTGCTTATCTGTGGTTCAATTTATGGCAGGCCACAAACCCTAGTTAGTGTTATAATATACAACATAATATTTTCCACAACTATAAAATCACTGTTTTACATTTAGTGAATTTTTCATTTTTTGTTTCAGTTTAGTAACAGTGTGCACTGAACATTACTACATTCTTCCTACTCTCCCCTTTTCAGTGTTTAATGGTGGAGCAGGCCAAGTGGTGAGGAAGGAATCAGTGCCAGCATCCCTTGGAAATGGGGAAATGGAGTCGAACTCCAGACTTTGGAAAACAGACATGCCTGACAACTAATCTATGAATTTGAATTCTGAAAGTTTGATGTGGGTGATTTAGACATCTCTTCAATTTTAAATACCGAATAGTGGCATTAGTTATAATTAACATTCACAATTAAAACTGTTTACAATATAATTATTACATCATACATATATTTCAGCATGTTAATAGAAGCCTGTTACATATACTGTACACTGTGAGGCAGGCAGGGAACTGTACCTGGAAAACCTACCAGTGTCCTTAATATTATAAGTAGCATCCTTTACCAAAATATTTATTCTTGTTAGTTAGCCATCTCACATGCAATTTGCTTTTTTAAAACCTTTAAAAGTTGTAAATGTTAAAATCTCTTCTACATCACTGGTATATGCACACTACATGTTTCGACCAACACTGGTCATCTTCAGGTGTCTCTAAAGTTGTTGATGAAACTGCTGTGTTTATGCTGTAAGCTCAATTTTTGGAATGTGCCCTCGTGTATGTGCCCATTTGTCTTATGGTGATTGTTAGTTCCTCTTGTCATCGTCTTCATGATGTAACATGTGATGTGCAGACCTCAGAATAAATGATGGATGAGAAATTTACATCTGATGTGTCTGAGGAGGAGGAAGAAGATAATGGTGGAGAAAGAGAACCTGAAGCAACATTTTTATCAACACTGAGTAAATAGTTTATGAAATTATATGTCAGTGATAACATGATGGCTGTCATCAGTAGTACTAAGGTATACAGGGTTCAGCAGAAAGTGAAAAAGCAGAAACTTATTTTAATGGACATGTAACATAAGTGAAGTAGATTATGTTTTTAATGTAATACATTAATTTGCCATATTTAATTTCCTTGATTTTGCATTCCTTTTAAAAGGTCTCTGCACAAACATAAAATCCAGGTACAGTGGAACCTCGCTTAACGAGCATAATTCGTTCCAGAATCTTACTCGTAATGCAAAACACTCATTAAGCGAAACAATTTTTCCCATATAAATTAATGTAAAATACGATAATGCATTCCATGCCGAAAAATACTCAAAAAATTTTATGTATAATGTTTATTCAAAGAAAATTATATATACATTGTTAAGGAGCATGAATCATCTTCATGTTTTCTTCTATGCGGAATGAACCAACCTGGAATGCGAATTTGATTTGCAGAAAACAAAAAAAAATCAAAATAATTAGTTTATTATTTATGATACATATCTAATTCTTTTTTTTTTTTTTACTAGAAAGCTTTCTTCAACACACTTTTTTTGACGACCCTTAAAAATTT